GGAATGTACTAGTTGGAGTGGGGTCTCTGACGTTTTTTGTCTTTGCCGAGACATAACCTGGGGATATTCCTACAAGAGTATTTGACATGACCACTAATGCTTCCTCCAGGCTCTAGAAAATCAGACGAACCATGTATGGTTTTCTCATACCTGTATTTCAGTGTATTCGGAAAAAAAGCACATGTAGAATCTGAGCATTCTAGTTTCGTACGTTCTTACAATGATTACATTTTAAGATTGAAGTTGACGATTGTCTAGGTTTCGTTGAAATTATCCCACAGAGTGGAGAGAAAAGATCACATGACTGGAAGCAAATACTTCTCTGCCGAATCAACATAGCACTTTTCTAGGCCCTGGGATCTATAAAAAAAACCCACCCAACCATGCTTGAAACCTTGATCCAAAATAAAATCAGCACCCACAGAAATAGAAAAATCTAGTTGCCAAATTCTATGGATCTTACAGTTATGTCAATGTTCGCTGTTGTGGAGTTGGAACTCTTATCACAAATAATACTGTTCGTTTTACGCATGGTATAGTACACAACATCTCACAACTATAATGAGTGCTGCACTGGGGTTGCAGAATAAACAGTCTTTCCTTCATCGTGACAAGAGTAATTGTAATGGGTTCACAAACAACATACAACTGTTTAAAATCATGAGAATATAAAGTTTAAAAAGTAGTTAATAACAGAGTTGACAAAATGAGTTTTAAGGATACAATTTATCTAACCAGAAAAAAATATAAACATATGGTTTTGGCTACATACAAAAAACAAGAAATAAAATGCCTTGATCTGAGATTTAGAAACATCAACTTTCCTGTATATGTATGTTTTGTAGATTGCATATCTGGAAACAGGAGACGTAAAATGAGCGTTTCATCTGATAGAAAATACATGTATATTTTCCTGTGGTAGAAAAGTTCTCACAACACCCAGCCACTTCATAAACATACCAAGCAGAAGCAAACACAGGAATGAATATTTGCCAGATATCTCATTCGATATTTCACCGATTAGAAATTAGGTACAACTGATGAATCTCCAACATTCCTATTTGACTCACTGACCAAAGTTGAATGGAACCTAAACAGAAGTTGCACACTTGTACATGGTCAGAGTGTGTGTATACAAAAGGTCAGTTTACGCATCCGCTCATCGGTCCCCGGGCTCACACATTTATTGTACATGTTCAGTGTTATTTTCAACACACAAATAAGCCACCACTCATCTCTCGGCAGCTGCGCTACATTTGCACAAATCCAAACATTCACTTGTATTCATGATCCAAAATACTCAGAAAAGAAGAAAAGAAAAATTAAACTCATATTTCCCTCCCGTCTGTCTTTTCCATTCAAATCTTTCCCTCCCATAAGCCCCTCCCTTTCACTCTTTCTGCTTGTTCACCACCTTTATCTGCTGACACATGTTACAGTATGGCTAGTAGAAGTGGGGTGGGGGGGTGGAGAGCATAAAAGTCAAGAGTTCATATCACAGTAAAAACACGCCATGGTCACTACACAGCTGTGTCAACAAACAACACACGCGTCAAGGTTATTTATCTATTAATTAATTAATTTTTTTTTACAAAAATAGGTCACAAATCTCATCACTGACATTAAAAAACATTGTGCAATGTGTGCATCTCAAATTCTGCATTAAAACATACAGGCCAGTGGTCCCTTTCCAATAACTTCCCTGCTTTAAATAATTTTGAAAGAAGGCTGAGTGGATTCATTTAATAACTGATAACCCATTTTTCTACACAAGGGTCAGCTTGATAATAATTAAGGCCAAAGGAAAGGCCATCATAGTTGTCACAAGAAGAATGTGTAATCCGGAAGTTTTTAACTACCTCTGTAAATTTTCAAGCAGTAATTCATCCTTCATAAGAGAGCGGAGACACTTATTTGCAAATATGTAATAGAAACATGTCACTATTTCTTCCTCAAAGCGACAACTTTCGATAAATAAAGGGACTTAATTTCGGGGGACCACCAGTATATAATAATGTTGGATTCATCATATCACAGTTTTTTGCTTTGAAAAATACAAATAGTACATAATACAGTCAAAGTATATATAATATATAAATATCTATATGATTTATATACAGTAAAACCAGCAGTGTAACATCTTCAGTTTTGCCAGTACTGTGAAGCAGATATCGTCGGGAAGTGTTAGTCTCAGGGAGTATGTATGACCACAGACGCTGAACAATAAAATGGATTATTTTAGCAGTTTCCGACAGTTTTGAACATAGACATGGTTAAAGATCTAACAGATGCCAATGAAGGGATTAATTTTTTTATATTTTTTTTTCATTTCTCCTTCTTCTTCTTCCTCTTCTTCTTCTTTTTTCAGAGCCCACCCGAGAACTGATCCTTTTGCAAGTGAATATTCGCAAGCCTTGGCAAGCAGGAGGCAACTGAAAAATCCCACTAGCACTTTCTGAAGTTCAATGATGAAAAAAAAAAATATCCTAAAAGTAGCAAATGGTACCTTTGAGAAATTGAAGACATTTTTGCGCTATAACATAATTTATGCTTTCCTGACCAAAACCTAACAATTTTGATTACAACGGATATTTTTGCAGGATATTTTAAACTGTGAGTGGCCTTTTTGATCCAACACTACAATCACATGATGGGAGTGTTGCAGAGAGTCAGATTCCAAATCCACACTAGAAAAAATCCCAAACCACGATATTTTGTTACTTCACTAAAACATGGGCAAAAGGTACATTAAGAGGAGGTATCCGGTGGGTCTGAGGTGGTGGTGGACCTGGGACACCAAATTGGAAAAACTTGAACTGACATTCTGGCAGCTTTTGACATATTGGGACCCAAGAATAACGAGCTTCTCCTCCCTCCGTTACACTTCCTTTAAAGACATCTGAGTTCAAGTTTTCATACGCTACACATCCATCAAATGAACCAAATGAACATGCTTTTTTTATGTCCGAAAAAAAGAAATTGGAGTTTTAGCTTTCACATATGGTGAAGAAGGAGTACTGGGGGAGGTCCAAGCCACTTCAACTCCAAACACAAAAAATTTTGAGTTATAACAATGTCGTTCTGGGGTCATCATTCTACCAGGAGTAAAACGAAAGTAAAGCTCAGCATCCCTTCACCAATACACTGTGGTACATCTCATTCGACGAAACAACGCAGTAATATTCTGTCAGACAGTCGATGACCTTTGACCCAACTTGGTCAATGTGAGCACTTATGAGTTAAGGGGTTATATATAAATATGCATAATAATGATAATAGGTTCTAAAGATGACAGGATAATAGATGTCTTGTGAGTGAAAGATGTACACAAACAAGAAATGTTCGGTATTGAGTTACAAGAATATGGACATGGTTTTCTGGCTCAGAGTGACATGACAGTGGAGGAAATCACAAAATAAACAACATGGTTCGAAAAAAGAAGAGACTGGAGGCTCAAGCTCACTTGAATAACAAAGGGAAAATTAACAAGTGAAAGGTGAAAAAATATGCTTTTAAGAAAAGAAAACATATACTATGGGCTTTAAACTTTAATAATTAACAGTCAACCAGCAGATGTGTTTGTCTAGAAGGAAAAGGGACATAACAAACAACCCTCAGGTGTATGTGGTGCAGTATAGCAGCAATGACTGAAACTTTCATCATGTACACTTTGTTAAATGTCGCATGTGTGTACTACTGTCTACCCTCGTGCTCCATAGCTCTTTATCTCCAAGGGGGGTAAACCCACTGCTGGGGTCCTTTTTTGGCACTAAATCTTAAAATGACGAAAACGTCACTAAATGGGTCATTAAATCGAAACTAGCGAAACTATTATGACAGTACTTCATTTTATGAATGAAATTTCGGTAAAAGAAACCCGTTTTCGGAATATGTCGAAAAGTGATTTGATGTTGAAGTCGTCGTAAAGGAATGTGTCCGAGCCACTGCCAGCGGCTCTCCACCTTAGCAGTTCCAACCGCCAGCCGCGGAGAGCGGCTTGCCGGAGGTAAAGAGTTAACTCAAGGTTAAAGGCCTCCACACTGTTGTCATTTACATACACATTTTAGTTTTTCCTCGACATTCCAATTGAAGAGTAAGTCTTAAACATTTAAATTTAACAAGTGGTAGCTTCACACGTATGGCTAGTTCATGTGCAAAATCCATTTTAGATTTTTTAAAAACCCAGATGTAACAAGGCATCTTGGGTAAGAAGGGATGAGAGAAAGCACAAACGGATACGACAGTCACAACTCAGAACAAAAGTAAGTGAAAAGAGAAACGCACAGCTCAAAACATCTCAACACTGAATTGCTCACACAATGAAGAATTTTCTGCAAAACAACCACATGCTGCACACCAAAACATAACAGCAACGCTTTCTGGCAGGTTAAAAACGGAAACAAAGCGTGGGACTAATTACATGTAAGCATTATCATAATATGAGTGAAAAAAAATACATTTAATAAACATTAGTGTATCAATTTCCTGGTTGAGAGTTCAGGAAAAGTAAAAAATTATATGTGTAAAGAAATTGACACAGAAAGAGCCAATATAATAGATATTACACAATTAAGCAATATTATTACAAAGATTATAATTTCAATGCTTTCTACAAAATAAATCTAACAAGAACCACTAATATACAAAACAGAAAGCTTGGAGCCTCATAAATCTGAGTGAAAGCAGCTTAACGCAGAGTTTTCACTATAAAGAGCAATTCAGATATGTAATCATAAGAGCTTACAGCAACAACAACAACAAAAAAAACTGTTTAAATCTCTCAGCTCTAGAGAGCATGCAGGCAAGCCAAAACCCACCCTGAGGCACTCAATAGTACACTGAGGAGACAGCCATTGTCCTAGGTTGACCTAATACCTCTAAAACACACACACACACACACACAACACACACACACATACACACACACACACAACACACACACATGCACACACACACACACTCAAACATAAACACACACACATACACACACACACACACACACACACACACACACACACACACACACACACACACACACACACATGAGCAACAAAAATCCAAACAAGGTCTTCATCCCTACACTACTAAAAGCAAGTGTTCAGGTTCAACAGCTCTATCAATACTATTAAGTTATTTAAGAAACGAGCCCTCCGAATTTAACATCAATCTCAGATAGGACAGAGCCAAATGAGTTGAAAGCCTTGAAATCACCACAGAATGACTCCTGTTCAAGAACACTCAATCTGGAATTTGAACCAGGGCCTTCCGCTCCATAGTCCAGCTTGATACCAATTGAGCAGACGGAGCACCCACATCTCTACACTGCCAGGCCCTAGATTAATTTATCCGTAATGTTTTAAACCCCTATCAACACTATTTGTATCACTGAGAAGGAGAGTAATTTGAAGCCTTCCGGTCAATGCTTAATTCGAGTTTCGAGGGAAACATCTATGCAGGAGGCACTCAAAAAAAAAATCAAACTCAAGCAAGAATTAAACTTGTAACCATACACCATGGCACAAGGCAGTCACATGAATATGTTCTGTGACCACAAATATGCAAAGAGAACTTTTCTCTGAAAAACAAACCCTCTAAAAGGGCAAGGGTACGTTGAAAAATTATAGTGCAGTTTGAAATTATAAATACTCCAAACAGAATAAGAAGTCTTTAAGCCAACATTCGGTTTTGCAATATATGAATAATTTCAAAGTAAAAAACGAATATGCAATAAGATCAAGTGATAAAAAAGTAAAGAGAGTATAAGCTGACAGCATGAAAATTTCACTTATTGCAACAACTGTGCAGCTTCTTTCTCACAAATTAATACTTCATACTGATAGGCTTCCAAGCAAACGAAAGATGCAGGTGATAACCTTTCTACCATGTGTATTCAACGAGAATGACAGCAGTTTGTGTGACTTAAAAAAACAAATACCACTCCAAACAAACTTCTCTGTGTTGCCCAGAACACGTACTACCGGAAAATCAGGATGAATCATTGACAAAGGGAAGGTGACAAGGGGACAGAGATGATATTGTGGCTCACTTTCATTACAAGAAATCAAATACAAGCAAAGATTAATGACAAAGTAAGAACTAAATCTTGTAGCAACAGCTTGGAATTATAGAAGAATGAGACAAATCAAAATATCAACAACTTGACCAATCGTCAACATATATATAGTCGACTGAGAGCCAGAAGAGACAATGTCCATTTTGGCCAAATGTCAAAAATAGCAAAATTGAGGCATTTATACGACATTCCATCATGTCTGTAAATTGAAGCATTTACATGAAATTCCATCTTGCCTGCAAGTACCAAATCAATCCACCACATAGTTTTGCTACTACTAGGACTTGTGATGTGTCCATGTCCAAGGATTCCCTGTCTTCACCTTGCCATAAGAATTCTACAAGGAATTTGGTCTCCTCTGGCTCTCAGCCAGAGATTATTATGTACAGGCTTTATATCTACCGTGTGTCAGCAGTTTGTGACCATGAAACAGAAAAATAAGAACAAGGTTCAAAGGAAAAGGCTACGACTCTCAGAGACACAGACCATAATGCCTCTGTTCCCGATAGATGTGGTGAGGGTATAATGCCTCTGTTCCCGATAGATGTGGTGAGGGTTTAACGTTTGGTATAGAGCTGTAAGGTTATTCAGGAGGTGGGAACCTCCAAACGTAACGTCTGGAGAACTTTAGAAATTCTACCAATAACCCAAATTTCAAGAACATCCCGATGCCGATTAGAATCAGGGTCAAATACGCAATAGCCCAGCACAATACCAGCTGAGTAAACGGTGGGCCCTAAATCCTCTGTATTATGAGTGACCTCTTTAAAACACTATAAATGGTCGTTTCCAAGATAGAATATCATGCTATCCCTGTCATTCTGGGGAGATGGTATAATGCAATTTATCTCCTCCAAAAATGTAAGTCCTACCTGACGGCATGACACAATCAGAGTACGTACTACCAAAGACAGTACACAACAAGACTGACATTTCGAAAAAGACAAGGGAATTACTGGGGCGAAGGATCTGGGCAGGGTGTTGCGAAAGAAAGTGAAGGTATTTGGTAGAGAGAAATCGACGGAGCTGACAACTTTTTATGCGAAAGAAGAGGAAAACTCTCCCCCATTATGAATCTAAGTTTGAAAGCTCGTTAACTATCCTTCTACAAAGGAGGTATCTGTATTATTTGCACAACGTCAGTAGGGGGAGGTGGTTGGAGAAAGGTGAAAAGGCAAAAAGAAGGAATAGGGTAGAGGCTATAGGAAGGGGGAAAGGGGGAAGGAAGGAAGGAAGTGGTGACGAGAGCAAGGACAATCAAGGAAAGCGGGCGGGTCTGATAGTTTCTTAGAGCCCACATTGTCTCTTTTCAATAAACTAAGAGTATTTGTTTAGTTTGGGTCACCTTTCCTAATGGCTTAAATCTCTGTATCTTTCACCATTCTTCTGACCCTCCTCCTCCTCCTCCTTGTCCCTCCTCTCCTGTCACTCCTCCCTCACCACCCCTCACCATTATCTCTCTCCTTCACTACCCCTCCCTCACTCCTCTGTCCTCATCACTTGTGCATCACTCCTCCTCCCCTTTATCTCTCTCCCGTCTTTTCTTCTCCTTCAGCCGCTGGTAGCTCTGGTAGTTCTGCCTGGCCTGTGTCTCCAGGTCCTGCCTCATGTCGCGACACGCCATGTCCACCGTCACAGAGCCCTCGGGCAGCACCTCTGTCTGGCCCTTACACACCACCCAGCGGTGAGACAGCACATCCACGGCATTGTAGCGCTTTCTCCTGTCTACGATGAGAAGCCGGCTGATGAGGTCTTTGGCACCTGGAGAAGAGGGTGGGGGAAAGCAGTGATAGAGTTAGAATATGTGGGAGAAATAAAAGGGGGAGGGAGAGGGGGAGGAGGAGGGAAAAGGTGAGAGAAGTGGGGAGAGAAAGAAAGATAGGAAAGGGGAGATAGAGTTAGAATATATGAGAGAGAAAATGGGGGAGGGGGAGAGAGAAGGGGAGGGAATAGAAGAGAGAAGGGGACAGAGAGAAAGAAAGAAAGATAAGAAATAGGAGGATTGAAGATGAGAAAGGCAGAAATAATGTAAGAAAAACTGACACCCTATAAACAGAAGGAAAAGTCTGAAAGAAGCTGAATTCAGCTAAGGCAAACACTTAAAATTGGGTCCATCAAAGCTTATCTTAAGAGAGCTAAATTACATGTAAATGCAAATACACACAGATAATCACACACACACACACACACACACACACACACACACACACACACACACACAAACACATACACAAACACACACACACACATACACACACACACACACACATAATAATACACACAAAGAAACTTACATACACACACAAACACGCATAATTCACACTCAAACATAATGTAGGTGTAAAGAGAAGCAGATCGACAAAATAACAAACATTTAGAGCAGGGAAAAGAAAGCTGGAAAGACAGAGCGAAAAAAAAGGAAATGTAAAAAAGTAGGACTTACCAGCAGCATACTCAAAAGCTACCAACCCCCCATATACTCACAGAAGCGCAGAGACACTAACGCAAAAGCAAAAATATGGATCAACAAATAGCTCTTGAAAAACAACTACCCACAAAGTGATGCAACTCAATCTTGGAGAAATTATGCATGTAAGGGGAGACAAACTCATTATTTCCCTGCACTCAAACTCTCATGAAAACAATCAACATGAGTCTCACACTCATACGACCTGATGCAGATGAGATCGAGAGAAGGAGTAAGAAAAACAGTCACATACTCTAAAGAAAAAACTGAAACACATGTAACACCAACACCACAGCTCAAACAAAGTCCCATAACTCACTCTTGGATGTGTTATCCCAGTAAGGGGAGAGAAATTCGTACTCCCCCGCCTTGATGAACTCAAACAGCTCTGTCTGGTTCCTATCTGGGGACCGAAAAGGCGGGAAACCACACAGTAGGATGTAGGTGATGACTCCCACTGCCCACATGTCCACCTCCAGCCCGTAACCTGTGGACAGAGGTCAGAGTGTCAAGGTCAGACCTTTGGATGTAACAATCAAGACAAAACGCAACACACGAAAAACAGCACAGAAACAACAAGCAATCTTGGCCAGCTGCAAATAAGAAGGTGAAAATAGAGAAAGAGCAAACTTTTGATAATGTTATAAAATTGTTCCCACATCCGATCCGGACATTGGGGATTGCCTTGTTTGTGAGACAACTTCCTGGGCCTTCGGCTTATTGTGGTAGGGTGGCCAGTTACTTTCCACGCCGCCTTTACTTCTAGAACTCGAAGTCAGGTACCCATTACTGCTGGGTGGGCAGTGTGGGGGTGAAAAAAAATCTGTTTCCGAACCAAGGCTCGAACCCGAACTTTCCACTTCGGAGACGAGCGCACTAACCGCTCCGCCACCGCACTTTTGATACTAAAGCAATACACAATAATAAAAACAATAATCATTTCTATAATTACTATTATTACAATTTCCTTTATTATTATTGATGCTATTAATATTATTATTATTACCAATAAAACTCTTGCTAAAACAAACAAACTTCTACTGACGCAACCCTGATCATTGTTTCGACAGACACTGACCTATCTCAGTGAGAATCTCGGGCGCCACATAGGTCGGGGTGCCACACACGGTATAGATGAGCTCCTTCACTTCCATGGCCAGGCCAAAATCTGCCAGCTTCAGGGTGATGCTGCCGTCCTTGTTACGGTGAACCTGGTCAGATTATAAAAGGGGAATCAGTTTAGAAAGGGGGGAAAATGTACATAGTTGATGAGTGAACATAATAAGACAGCTGAAAATTCCCTAGTCAGAATAAAAATATATATTACAACCTTCGACTTCGATATTGGAATCTGACTGCCTGATGGCAAGGGGCCCTGTGAAGTAAGAAAAACAGTCACATATGTAATTTAAAGTAAGGAAGGAAAAAACGGTCACATACATGAAAATTATTTCAGCGGCAGATTGAAGAACTAACAGTCAACTAGCCGTGATCTCGAGATCTTGCAGGAGTATGTGAAAAAAGAAGACAGACAGACAGCAGATAGAAACGGACAGAGAGAGAGAGAGAGAGAGAGAGAGAGAGAGAGAGAGAGAGAGAGAGAGAGAGATTGAGACAGAGAGAGGAAACAGACAGACATACAGACAAACGAACAAACAGACAGACAGGTAACTTACATGGTAGCACGTTGGCGTATCTGTTCTTATCTTCCTCTCCATCTGGTACCACGGACAATCGAGGAAGACGATTAGGTAGTTTCTGGAATTTCACCAACAGATATTAGAAAATCAAATACTAAAATAATAATTTGGTGATTTGTTCTCAACCCTATTTTACTAAAACATCATTTCCATTAAACAAACACGCACCTAAAACATTTTTATAATCCTATTCACTATGCGAGAAAATATCTTTGAGAAAGGCAAGCATATCGTAAACCAAACCTAAATTTCGAAAAATGCAATTAGGTAACGATACACAATATGTACATAAGTGAATGAAACGACAAAAGAATCCCACCGAAAGAAAACAACAACAACAACAACAACAACAACAACAACAACAACAACAACAACAACAAAAGACAAACATGATGATGATTTAAGCCATTTTCCGACACGATCTCGAGTAGAATGTATAGATTACCAGTGAGTATGTTCATAAATGCATAAGTTACCTGGTACTCTTCATCGATTTTGTACTGATCCGTGCACATGTTGGTCAACTCGGTCACGTTGAGAGGATGGGTCGGATCAGGCTGCAATACAAATCAGTGGACAACATTTTTCGTTAAGCTGTGTGCTCTCATATTCTTTTTTTTTGGGGGGGGGGTATAATGTCCAGTGCAGCCTCTCTATAACGGCCTTCGATATAACAACATCCTCTGTATAGCGACATGGTGCCCTGGTCCCGATATTTTCCTTTTATATCCTTAGTAATTTTTGGTTGCCTCTCTGGAACGACACTTCTCTTTTTTCTGGTCTCGACGATGTCATTATAGAGAGGCTGCACTGTGTGTGTTTTCACGGCCCCATCAAGATAATTTAGATAATTTAGGAGGCAGGCTGTCGATCCTACCAGTCCGGGCTACAGCGGACTGAGAGGGATAAAACATCCCAGCAGAAAGACCCGAGATACTCCATAAAAATCTTCTCCCCGCTCGGCCTTGGGAATCGAACTCGGGTCTCCTGCGACAGCGAGGCGCTGACCCGTTACACCAGAGACGCGGTACATTCATCTCTGAGGCATCTGTGGCATGCATACATATTATTATTATTATTATTATTATTATTATTATTATTATCATTATTATCATTATTATTATTATTATTTCTTTTGATTTTGAGAACACCCCAGAAAATGTCACCTAATATACGCCGTCTGCGGAATGGCGCTGGCGACATTCATTCTCACCCCCTCTCTTTTTTCCCCTAAACCAACAGGTTTGCAGACTTTCAGTTGGCTGGTTGTTTGATAGGGGCCTGCGCTTCGTCGTTACGTCATGCTGTCCAAGCGGGAAAAGGGTCAGTTCCCGTCCAACTATGATGCCGTCTGGACAGAGGAGGAGTCAAGGTGACTGATTATAGTCATAATAATAATAGTAATAATGATATAAATATTAATAATAATAATATTAATAATAATAATTATAAAAACAATAATAATAATAATAATAATAATAAT